CTTGCCCCTCAGATTTTCATTTCTTCAGGTAACTTGTAAATTTTCTGAATGGTCTGGAGATTCTCAAACAGCTCAATAACTTCTTTACGAATAAAGCTGAAGATTTTTTAAAAAAGAAATTTTGCAGTTGCCAGAGGAATGGAGAAAAGCCACAGAATGAAATGGATCTTAAATGATTCAATTACTTTTTTTAAAAAAAAATTTGTACTGCTTTATTTGTATTTATCATTAAAACTTCACAGAACTTTTAGGATAAACCAATGAAACTATGATAAAACAAATAAGATTTAAATAAGGTGCCATAACAAAAGTTCAGGGAAAACATTAATTGGAAAGAAATCTAGACTTTTATTATACATTAACAGGAAATAATGATCTATTGCAACTTGTAAACACATATCACAATGTAATATCATGTCTTCAGTAAGGTGGTTATTAACAACCTAATTTACAGAATTTAGACAGTTCCACTTCTCCATGGATATGGTCTTCAAAGCATTGAAATCTTCAGAAAGAGTATTTTGTACATACAACCGCAATTCCAAGTAAACCTCAGAAGTTTTGTAAGGTAATTTGCTTAGACAGCTGATTCCCTTTAGTTTCAAGAAATTCGTCCCCTTCTCAATGTGAACGCAAGTTATTAGTCATTAAAAGTCAAATCCAGTATTAATGAGAATATTTAACAGTGCTCAATCCCTAATATATAGACATATTTAGAATGAGAAGATGAACTGAATGTTAAATTGTACTGTCTGTTTTGAAATACTCAGTTATCTTGCAATTTCCATAATTTCTTTTAAGCTGTTAATAGCTGTGCACTATCATGGAGAAAACAGAAATCATAGAAAGATACTTTTATTTATATATTTTTAATGAAAAGAAATGCTTTCAGATCAATACCTGCTCCAACTAATTTCTCAAAAAGCAATTTTGGCCTCGAAGAATAAATTACACTGCCTAAAGGCCAATACAATATGTCATTTTAGATAAATTATATTTACCTAAAAGACCTAATATTCAGAATTTTTAACACAATATTTGAATAACACAGTTATATATTTCCATGCTATTGAGAAACCTATTTTGTTTTGAAAATATTTTGATAGAAGTTTAAAAGTAATCATTAGGCACAGAATATTAATATATTTCTATTTGGAGGGGACACCACTACTTCCATTCCATTTATAAAATACAGTCATTTGCTTTTTTGAAATTTGAATAATCATTTTTATGCTGCCCAGCCAGTACAGCGGTTAGTGATGCTGATTACCGTAGTAATGGGCCCGAATTTGAATCCTGAGAGAACTTTTGGTTGTAATTGTTTGTCCCTTCATAGAGGCAACAGTGGCTCAATATAAGGTGCTTCCTTTATGAAATGGCCATCACTTCTGCCCTTGTAGTGGTGTACGGCTTATGGCTATTAAATAAAGTGCCTGGTCATTTAAAAAAAATTGTTTTTATAAAATATCATTATACACTGCTGACCAGCATAAATGCAACACCCTGAAGGAAGCATGCAAATAACATGAAATTTACAACATGCATTAGCGGAGGTGAGATATGGAAATGATGAGAATTTCAGTGCAGATGCATATCACGAGTGCCTGTGGCACCACTTCAAAGCGCTATTTAAGGCTTGGAGTTTTCGACAATTGTGTTTTTCTTGTAGTTGAAAAAAGAAAAAAAAAAAAGGATCAATGCCTTGTAGTAAACAGCGATCATCGTTTGATCAAGTATCCGAGTTCGACAGAGAAAGGATAGTGGCCTACCGAGAGTGTGGATTATCTTTCAGGGAAATCAGTAGTCGTATTGGATGAAACCAAACAACTGTAATGCGAATATGTGATCACTGGATTCAGGAGGGTACGACGGACCGACGTGTTCAATCGCATACACCTCAGTGCACCCCTTCACGTGATGATAGGAACATTGTGCACATGGCAGTGACGGATCGCTCAGTCACATCACAAATCATAGCACAGCACATTCAGTCTGTAACGCATCATCCTGTGGCTGCGTGCAGCATTTGACGCTGTTTACAGCAGAGTGGTCTGTCTGCAAGACGTCCATTGCTTTGTCTAACCTTGATGCAGAACCACAGACGTCTCTGCCACCAATGGTGCGATGAAAGAAGGATGTGGACGGCAGAATGGAACGAAATTGTCCTTATTGACGAGTTACGCTTCTGTCTTCAACCCCACGATGGTCGGATTCGAGTCTGGAGACATCGTGGAGAGAGGATGCTGAACAGCTGTGTTATGCACCACCACACTGGTCCTGCACAGGGTATTATGATATGGAGTGGTATTGGATATCACTCTCGCACTACTCTAATATGCATTGCTGGTACTTTAAACAGCCAGCGCTACATCTCCGAGGTGTTGGAGCCAGTTGTCCTTCCTTACCTTCAGGGCTTGCCCACAGTCATATTTCAACAGGATAATGCACAACCACATGTGACATGCATTGTCCAAGGGTTCTTCGTCAATCGCCAGATTGAATTGCTTGCCTGGCCGGCTCGCCTTCTGGATCTTGCGCCGATAGAAAACACATGGTCCAGGGTTGCTGACATGTGGACTCCAGATTACAGCTCCAAGCTGCCACATCCAGATCAACCTTTGGCAACGTGTTCGAAACTGTTTGGTCTGCTGTATCCCCAAGAACACATCCAAAGTCTCTTTGCATCAATGCCGAGGCATGTGGCAGCGGTGATCTCCAACAATGGACGGCTACTCTGGCTACTGATTCTGGAAAGAACCACACTTCACAGAAGTCTATAATTTAATCATTTGATACTTGGTCAACATGTTATCTACTAAATAAACTTTGTTGTGATCTCTCTTGTCTTTCTTGGTGTTGCAATTTGGGTGGCCAGCAGTGTATATAAAAATAAATACTACAACTTGAATATTTAAAAATATGATTGAAAACCAAATTTTCTTCAAATAATGGAAATATAATTATTTATAAAGAATGTTGAAATATATATATACAGGGTGTTTCATAGATCATGGGGCAAACTTGGAGAGGTGATGGAGTGTACTAAAACATGCATTTTTTGTATAGGAATGTAGGGTCTAAAGTGACGGGTTAAGGCAGGAATGCAAAAAAATGACATAAAAGGAAAATGTGTTTATGTACAAAATCAATGCAAAGTGCTTCTTTGCAGTAATACAGTATTCACAATAAATGTTCAAAAAAGGGAACACTAACAATAATAGTAACTACAGTTGTGATTGGCTGGCAATGCAGCAATAGAAGGCGGTAGTAAGCGAGACAAACCACGATATGATGCATCAGAGGATCATTCGCAACTTTGATGTCGAGCGTGATGGGTGAGTTTACGCATAGGGAAAAAGCTGACATGCATCTCATGTATGGTGCTGCTGATGGGAACAACACAGCAGTGCTATGGTTGTACCAGCAACGGTTTCGGAACAGGCGTATGCCAAAGCTCACAATGTTCGAGAGGTTGCATCAGTCTCTGTGTGAAAACGGGTCATTTGAAGCCACCTCTGACACTAGGAGTGTAAGAAGTGGTGCATGACAACCTCGCATTGAAGAATTCATCTTGAACATTGTGCATGAATCACCTCAGACACGAGCTATTGAACGTCGTCTGCAGCTGAGTCCTTCCACCTTTTGGAGAGTATTGCATCCATACCATTTACAGAGAGTCCAAGCCTTGTAAGAGACAGATTACCCTCTTTGAGTTCATTTCTGTCATTGGTTCTTGCAGCAGTGTGCGGCACAGGTGGATGTGCTAGCTCTAGCACATCCTGCACATTTGCTGTGACGAAGGTGGATAGGAATTTTTCCATCAGATGTGCTATTCACGGACGAGGCAACATTCTCACAGGACAGCACCTTCAATAGTCACAACATGCATGTGTGGGCAATTTATAATCCACACGGCACACGTCCACATGCATTCCAAACTCGCTTCTCCGTGAATGTGTGGGCGGGTATTGTTAACGACTATCTCATAGGCCCATACCTCTTACCTGCACATACAAATGGCTTATGTTATCATATCTTTCTGCAAGAGGTGCTACTGGAATTGCTGCAGGATGTTCCGGCTGCCGTTCATGATCGCATGTAGTTCCAGCATGATGGTACACTAGCCCATAACCACGTGCGAGTCCGCAATTACTTAGATGGGACATTTCAGCGCCGATGGATTGGCTGTGGTGTTGGTGTTTTTAATTATGGCAAAGCACACTAGGGCTATCTGCCTAGAGGGAGGGATGCCTTCGTGGAGGACTTTCTAAGGGAAACTGGCTCGTATACACGTTACACATCGGGAAAACCACGAAAACATCCATGCAGCCAGCCCATTCGCGGATTCGAACCTCGGACCGAACTACCAGTGTTCAGCGACTTTACCGCTGGACTTATTCGATGGCCACCCTGTTCGCCAGATTTATCCAGCTTGGATTTTTTTTTTTTTTTTTTTTTTTGTGGGGCCACTTGAAGAGCATCATTTACGAGACTCTCGTTGATCCATTGGAGGACCTCACTGCACAACTACCCATTGCGGCTGCAAGCGTGCACGAAATGCCTGTCATTTTTCAAAATGTTCATCAGTCCCTTCTGCAACATTACCAAGCATGTATTATTGCTGGTGGTTGCAATTTTGAACATTTATTGTGAATACTGTATAGCTACAAAGAAGCACTTTGCGTTGATTTTGTACATAAACACGTTTTCCTCTTGCATCATTTTTTTGCGTTCCTGCCTTAACCCGTCATTTTAGACCTTACATTCCTATAAAAAAATGCATGTTTTAGTATGCTCCACCACCCTTCAATTTTGTCCCAAGATCTATGAAACAACCTGTATATGCACACATGGGTACTCTGAAAACATTTATCAGAGCTCTAAATATTCTTGTATTCATAACGCTGAAATAAAAAGAATGTTAAAAACTCAAAAAAAAAAAAAAAAAAAAAAAAAAAAAAAAAAAAAAAAAAAAAAAGTATTAGAGTTAATTAGTTTACCTGAATCATAAATCACTGAGCCAGGTATATCTGTGTGACTTGTCATTGCATACATTCTAGTATAAAGTTTTTCTTTAAAGCGTAACTTACAGAAATCAGCCCTAGACTGATCATGAACACTTGTTCCTGAAAGTTTAAAACAGAACATTGTGAATTAAATCTTCTTAAAATAATACACATATATACAGTCAATAAAAAATTATAAATATACTACTGTTATTTCTTACTCTCTTTTGAATAGCGAGCATTCGAAGAAAGTAATTCTTAATTTATTTATTTATTTTTTTTTTGTATTCTTGCAACAAATGTAATTCTGCTCACTGAATAATCCTCCACCAATGAATTTAGTGATTAGCAATAGCAGACTCATTCAGAATATGATTAATTATATTTCTTCATAAAAAAATATTTATTAATAGTCTTCATTTAATTCCTACTCTGAAAACATTTATCACATGTAACAGAAAACTGAGAGCAATCCTTTTTCACAATCACACAAACACTTAGTCTGATGTGCGCATAATGTTTCAATAATCAATGGCTAATAGGTGAGGTACCACTAACCAGATGACCCACTACTAATGAATTCTAAGAATGGCCAAAGAGTATGCATTCAAAATACTAACTTAAGTCTTCATTTAATTACTCTAACTATATATAACAGAATTCAGATAGCCATACTATTTCATATTCACTTAAATACTTGTCTTGATGTGTGTATTATGTTTCAACAGCCTAACTGATGGCTAACAGGTGAACTACCATTAACCTGCTGATCCATTCCCAATAAATTCTGAGATTAGTCATAGCACATTCATTCAAACTATTGATTAAATATACCTCTTGATTAAAACATATTACTTAATAGTCTTCATTTAACTACTCTGACTGTATATAACAGAATACTGATGGCCATACTATTTCATACAAACATTTGTCTTGAATAGAGTGTTTGTTAAATTTCAAACCAATGGCTAATACAGGACAGATCACCTACTGCAATAGATACAGCATGGTAGGTCACCTGTTGTAAGAATACCTTATTTTCTAATAAATATTTGAAGATAAATAATGAATAAATTGTGTTTAATTAATTTACTTTCTTAAAATATAATGCTGAAGGGAAAACATCTGGAAAAAACTAACATATAAAAAAAAATGCAAAATGATACTTCATGCAAATTTTTCATATCTCTAGCTAAGGAACTGAGACAATCATTTGCAACTTGTTAATAATGTGCAGCAATGGGATACAGCATACATTAATTACTTGCATGCGTTACTTATTATGAAACTTATTAAGACAGAAATGAGAAAAGTCTTTTATCTCAGCTTACCGAAAAGAAGCATAATACTAAGCTGATCCAGAAAGTAAGCATTGCTTGTGCATATCTCCCGTGTGACAGCACAAAGGTTGCACATGAGTAGTTACATAGTTAAATTCGAGAATGAGTTAGCCTAGTCATTTTATCTGTTTATGTTACTATTTTATGTCGATGTTTGCTCGCAATCATGTATAAAAAACAATCGATCGACTGCCAGCTGTCAAATAAGAAACAGTTATCACATTTTTTATAGCGAGAATCGTTTGACCTTGTGAAATTTATCATCAGATAAGTGAAACTTAAGGAGAGAACATAATGAGTGAAGGTATGGTGTGAAAGTAGGTTAGGATGTTTAATGAAAGACAGGAAAATGTCCACAACGAGAAGTGCAGTAGATGCCCATCATTGATCCTTGAGCAAATGTTGTGCTGCATCAAGGACAAAGCTTATTCTGATTCATGATTTCCGATTAGTCAATGAATTTTCAAAACATTTTACAATCTTTAAGAAACGAAATTGTGACTGTACATTTGTACTACAAAAAACTGTAATGCTCTAAACATGCTCAATAGGAGAGAGATCTGGTGACCTTTCTGGCCAAAGTAATGTTCAGCAAGCAGTAGAAACGTGCAGTGTGGGGGTGGGCATTATCTTGCTGAAATGTAAGCCCGGGTTTCGTGACATGAAGGGCAACATAATGGGCCTTAGAACTTCGTCGACGTACCGCTGTGCTGTAAGGTTGTGACGGATGACAACTAAAGGGGCCCTACTATGAAATGAAATGGCAACCCAGACCATCACTCCTGGTTGTCAGCCTGTCTGCCGTAAGACAGTCAGGTTGGTATCACACCACTGTCCAGGGCATCTCCAGACTCGCCTTCGCTGGTCATGGTTCAAAGCGGGACTCATCACTGAAGACTATTCTATTCCAGTCAGTGACATTTCATTGCGAATGAGCCCAACCACTGCAAACAGGCTTGAAGTTGTACAGAGGTCAATGGTAGTTGGTGCAAGGCACGCCGTGACCTCAGCCCCCTTTCTGTGAGCCGTCTATGAGCAGTCCTTGCGGTCACTAAAGCACTAGTGGATGCACAATCGATGATAATGATGCACCTGGAGCTATGAGTACCGCTCTGACAATTGCTCAGTCTTCATGTTCTATCATTTCTCTAGGCCTACTGCTTCCTGCTTGGCGCTGTGTGCGGCCATGGTTCCCCCATTCCTGCCAACATCGTCTAATAGTGGCATCGCTCCTGCTTAAATGTCGAGCTATTCGCCAATAAGGCCAACCGGCTCCTTTGAGTCCAACTACACGACCTCTCTCAGATTCTGACATCTGCACATATCATTCACGCACCTGTATGCGAGGCACAGTTACTGTCTGCCAGAGTACACAAAATGAAATTTGTGAAGAATTTATGACCTAGAATCGTAATTCCTCCTCTTAAATATCCTGCCAGTTGAGCAGATCAGATGCGCTGTAGCGAGAACCCTTCATTCATGGGCAGCCAAAATGTAAAATTTTGCATTTTCCGTTGAAACCTGTATGCATATCAATTTGTGTTCAATTTGCTTTATACCTTCTTGGTGCATCTTTTTTCTTTTCTTTTCTTTCTTTTTTTTTTTTTTTGTTTAACAGTGTATATAAAAACTCAAAAGATCTTTATTAAAAACTGTAATATACAGAAAAATATAAAACATCAAATACAGTTAAAAACAGTGTAAAAAAATTGTTTTAGAATAAAAATTAGATTTTCTATGCAAAAGCAAGCAATTTGGCCAGCGGGCAGAAAAACAGATTTTTCTGAGCACGAAACTGAAAGTTTACTTTTCCCCACATAGCAAAAAGAAACTGAAGTTGGTGCAGAAATTGTAGACTTAATTCAATATTCTACTAAGTTTCAAATGTAAACAAATGGTAGCTTCATTAGACAATTTTAAATTGTCGATAATTCTACAACTATTGAATGTTGGTTGACTAAAGGCATAAAAACCTGAACCAGAACATTTGAACAACATAATTCAATCACTTTTAAAGCAAAAAATACATAACTTACAAACATATAAGAATAAAAATATTGAGCTCACCGAACCCAGTAACAGAGTGGGTACATATACACACACTTTTGGTGTTGCTAATTGCAACCAAAAAAGCAGGTGCATATTTACATGTTATTGAAGTCAATATATACAAAATTTCAATGTTCTAAGGCAACTTGTTTTTGAATTATGCAAGATACATACATATGTACTTACATACAGATGTCATAAAAAATTTCTTCTGAATCCATTTTAAATGCATTTTACAATCCGTTTTGGGAAAAAGAGTCCTTTACTCTACCTGTGCATACAGATATCACTCAAAAATACTGAAATGTATTTGAAAACGGTCAAAATGGATACTTTTGTTGAAACATGATGCCTAGAACTTTTCACAATCACAATACTTCATTTACTGCACAGAAGGAAGTAAAACTATTAAACATGTTAAAATGAAAACAAAACTACTGTACTAAAAATACGAGAAAAACAGGAAGCTGGAATATTTGAACAGGTAAGTAACAGCAATGCAGTTGCTTGCCTATTTAAAGGAACTGCAATGCTCTAAATACTGCAGTGCTGCACATAAGCAAGCAACTGCAATGATGTAGCCTGTCTGCTGCAGTTAAATGGAAAATGACTGTCTAATCTGATGAGTAAAATTTCATTATAGATAGTACTGATAATAACAGATGAAGCTGGCACAATCTGCATCAAAAGCTTAAGAAAAATTTTAGCAGAAAAGTGACAGAATGGAGTAATGACACAGACATATTTTTGATTTCACAATCTGACTCTACCACAACTAGGGTAATAATTTCATCACGCTGAAACTATCAGTAATGTCTTTTAATATACAGGAATGAAACAATTATAAAGTTTCCAAAAAAAACATTCAGCCTACCTTTTACAAAATCAAATTTAAGATCAGACTTATTTGAAGAACCATGGCAGTCAGATACCCAGTAGAGAAAGATATCATTCCCTTTTCCTTGTACGCTGATGACAAGTGGTGATGTTTGAGTACCAACAACCATCTGAATAGGTTTTGGCAAAAGTGGTTTTCCACTTCGTCCATCTAATATGGTTGTCTGAAAGCAAACAAAGGGAATATATCACTAAAAGTTTCAAAACAATAAACTGAAAGCAAAGGAAAGATATAACCAAAATTTTGGAAAATATTTAACCATCCCCCAAGTCATAGTATCCTCACCATTTCTGGTTAACTGTCCCCTTTATTTTTTTGGCCTGTGTCCTTTCAAACAAACACAGCAACCTCTTCACTTGTAATAATAACGCACTAGATATCTTCTGAATGCAATTTATGGGTATTTATTTTAGATATTTATTGCATTTCATCCATTATTAAAAATTTTCAAGCAATATGGAAATAGAATGATAACAATTAAAGATTTTTTAAAGTATTTATAGACCTAGTACAGCATGTAAAGATTCTCTCCACAGCATGTGCAGCAGTACATCATGAAAGAACTTGCTACTTGCATGAAAAAAAGTATAACTTGATATGATATTTGAGGTCACATTTGTACAACACTAAAGCAATAGTTTAAAACTCTCATTCCCTTGAATTAGAAAAAAGAACATACAATGTTAATCAATATAAGAAAAGGATAAAGAAACATGATTTAGTATGATTTTGTTAAGATGCATGACTATGTAGTAAATGTTTGTTTCAAAAGTGTATGTGTAACCAAATTTTTCAAGAGTTTTTTTAATTGTCTACTTGCTTTGCAGCACTCTCTTACTGCCCTCCTCCCTCATCTCCAGATATTCTCAAAACCAACCACACAGCAGTAACTCCAATGTTGGGAAACTATGCTTTAAGAAAAAAAAAAAAAAAAAAAAAAAAAAAAAAAAAAAAAAAAAAAACCCTCACATTTTACTTAAAATTTAATCCAAATATTATGAAGACATATAAATAATAAATAAAGAAACTGTAATAAAATGGTTGAGCAATATTAAATTCAATAATTGAGAGGTCAGGAACTTGTATACCATTCTCTTTTGAAAAAATGTCCTTGACTGCTTGAACTTTTTGTCTCCAAAATAGGAAAGCTTATGTAACAACTTACTTTTTGCACATTTAAATGTAAACTATGGCTTGACCATAAGTAATTGATTAAGTCATGATATTATAAGAAAATAATCAGTCAGCCATAATTATAATACCTATGATGTGCAATAAATTGAAGTATCACTTGCTAAACAGTGGTAATATATATATATATATATATATAAAAACTTAAGCTTTCAGATTTTTTGGCTAATCTTTGGAATATGGTAACAGGTAGTTTGGCGACATTTTGGAGGCGATAAAGGTTACTACCTAGGACTTTGGGAATAATGTGAGAAGTACTCAGTTCCGATTACGCATTATTTTGTGTGAGGGAAATGAGAGATCATGAGATATGTCATGTGACATTAATGGACGAATTACAGTTCTTTAATCGGAAAAGGGGGTAAATTTGGAAAAATATCTGCAGTACTATAGTATTTTGTATTAAGCTTCATTGTGTGTTGTGTGAAAGAGTGTTGATTAATTTTTGGATCGCATGGCGCTATCTAAAGTGAATTCTAAATTTTTAATGCGTTTATCTGATAATTCAAAAGAATTGGTTGAATGGTGTATGAGTGTAGGATTAATTGCGGATAAGTATGAATGTCCAACATGTGGGAATGAAATGAGATTGTGTGAAAGGAAGGATATTACAGATAAGTTTGAATGGCGGTGCAAGAAATCTGGTGAAAATGGACATTTTGTGATCCGCCATGCACTCAAGATTCTGTAGAAGATTAGGTAAGTTAGTATTTTTAATCATTTGAGGATATTATTTTTATGCATTGTTCTAAATGTAAGGAGTAAATAAATTAATATGGTATTATTGGAAAATTGTTATTAGCAATGATTTAGTTTAAAGTAATTAGGATTGTAAGCTAATTTTTATTAATTTAATGTATGTGCTTATTTATATTTTAAGTAGTGTTTTTAATTTAATTATATTTTAATTTAATGATCGTGATTTTGTGAGTTATATGTTTGTAGTATTTTGGAATACGTTTGAGTAGAAGTAAATGTGCATGGAAAGAATTTAAATATTTGACACTAAGTATTTGGAACCATTTTTAATGTTTGCGTTATAAATTGGCAGGTGACGTTTATAATAGATAATTTAGAGGGAAAAGTTTTTGGATATTTTATTTATTTTATACGTGCAAATGTTCATCCTTGGAAAGGGTATATACTTTTTCGCGATCAGGTAATTTCATATATGTTCTTTTTACCGAATTTAAAGATTCACAAAATTTTCATGCATTTTCGTGAAATTTTTCTAATTTATGAGAAAAAAAGCAGTGTACATGGATATAGTGAAGAGTGTGCGCAATGCCATTTTTGTGCAATTCTGGGATTTTTTTTAAGTAAAAATAAGTCGACGTGTACATGGTTTAATTATATTTTAATTAAATGATAGTTATTTTGTGAATTATATGTTTGTAGCAATTTGGTATACGTTTCAGTGGAAGTAAACGTGCATGGAAATAATTTAAATATTTGACACTAAGTATTTGTAACCATTTTTAATGTTTGCGTTATAAATTCGTTGGTGACGTTTATAATATAATAGATAATTTAGAGGTAAAAGTTTTTGGATATTTTATTTATTTTATACGTGGAAATGTTCATCCTTGGAAAGGGTATATACTTTTTCGCGATCAGGTAATTTCATATATGTGCTTTTTACCGAGTTTAAAGATTCACAAAATTTTCCTGCATTTTCGTGCAAATTTTTGTAATTTATGAGAAAATAGCAGTGTAGATGGATAAAGTCAAGAGTGTGTGCAATGCCATTTTTGTGCAATTCTGGGATTTTTTTTTAAGTAAAAATAAGTCGACGTGTACATGGTTACTGTGTATGTGCGATTCTGAAAAACGCGGCAAGGAGTTTGCGATTTTGCACTTTTTCCCAATTTTGCAGTTAATATTTGTCATGATTAAGCAGTTTTGTTCCATAAAATTTCTAGCATAAGTGTAATTCGGCTAGCAGATTGTTGGAAAAAGTGTTGAGTAAATAAAAAGAAAAGAAACATGTCTTTACGAAGTAAAAAAAAACGGCGGAAAAAAAAATTAAGGGTTGCTGTAGCAGAGTTGGTCGCCAAATTTTCGCCAAGTTACCATAATCCAAAGATTAACTTTTTTTTTTTTTTTAAAGGTAACACATGTTTTGTGTGTTACCTTTTTTTATTAAATATCATGCTCTTCGCACTTAAACCACGAAACTCAGTTCAACAGCAATATTGCAAAATAATTTTAAGATGAGCATATCTTTAGAATTTTCAATACACAGTCACGTGCGCTGGAGATAAAAATGTGCCCCCACCCGGAGCAGTGTTGCCATTGCTTGCTTTGAAATCGCTAAGTTTGTTAATAAAAAATTCTTTAATGTCTGAGAAAATATGAAATAGATAATAAAACAGATTCCACATTTGGGCGTCCAGATGCCCATATTCGGTTGAGGATTATGTTATTCAAAATTTGATGGCTCGAAGTACTGTTGTTTTATCTCAATGCGAGAATATATACATATATTTATGCAGATTCTTCATTACATAATTTTGTTAAATAAAATACAGGGCGATAATTTCGTTAAATAAAATACAGGGCAATAATTTCGTTAAATAAAATACAGGGCGATAATTTTTGGTGGCAACAATTTGAAAAATGAACCTACATTTAATGCAAAATGCCAAAGCTAAATTAATAGTCCTTCTGGACAAATTGCCCCTTTGGACTAAAAAAAGTACACATGGGCTATTTATCTTGGAGACAATACTTTCATCAAATTCCTTTAAAGGAAAGCATGTAGGTAAATTAAATACATCAAAGCATTCAAAGCTTATCTGATTTGATGATTCAAATAAAAATCAAATGCCTGCAAAATTTAAAAGTCAAGATTATAGCTCTCAAAACTGGGAAATTTTTCATGCAATAAATACTACAGATATTGTTACAACTCGAACGTGAAATGAGCGAAAGTTTCTCTTCTGCCAGTGGCAACGAGGAGTCGAAAAACGAACTTGGAAGAGAGCGGTCGCTCGCTCGGTTTCTCTCGATAGAATTTGATACGAATGGGGGATAATCCCCATCTTTTGATTTGAAATTAATCTTATGTATATATTGTTATAAAAGATGTGTGTAAATAAAAGTCATTAAGACTTAATTGAAGTAGTGATTTGAATCGAATATAGAAATCGAAAGCTCTTCCAAATAGAACTATGGATTCTAGAATAAACATATTTTAGTGGTGCCTTCATCACCGGACTTTTGGATTAGAATTTCGAAGATTAGCAGATGGATTACCTGTAAACAGGTAAGCAATTCCTTTTTCTTTGAAAATTTGGAAAAAAAACCGAGTTTCAATATTGTGATTAATCAATTTTAAACATGGAAGCTTTAGACAAATTGAAGCAGAAACGTACGAATGAACGCAGTAGTGTTACGAAATTAATTACAAAAATAGACTCTTTGTTGTCAGAAAATATCGAAAACACAAACATTGAGGAATTGCAGGAGATGAATGAAACTATTCTCGAAAGAGAAAACACATTGAAAATGTTGAATTTACAAATCGAAACTCAGTTAAAAGATGCTAACGAATTTGAAAAAGATATTACTGCAAGGGATAAATACAATGAACAAATTATGTCTGCAAAGTTTAGAATTAAAATAAGATTAAATAAATGTAATGAAAATTTGTCTGTGAAAAATGCATCAGATGCAAATTCTTTGAACACTTCCGTTTCTGAAATAAATGTATCGTCATCGGCTATGAAATTGCCAAAGTTAAATATTCCAAAATTCTCAAGAGATGCAGGAAAATGGTTAGAATTTTTTAACAGTTTTCAAGCTGCAATTGATCAGAACAAAGCGTTAAGCAAGATTGAAAAATTCGTATATTTAAAATCATTATTGATAGGGCAAGCATATAATGTTGTTGAAGGATTTCAGTTAACCGAACACAATTACGATTCGTGCTTAGAACTTTTAAAAGAACGCTTTGGAAAACCAGAGAAA